ACAGACAGAGCGAGGATGAGGACGCGGGCTCTGAGGGGGCGGCTCCTGGCAGGGTGGGGGCAGGTGGAGATCCCCCCAAGGTGGAAGGCGGGACCAAGGAGGGGAGGGGAGGCGAGGCTCCACGGAGCTGTGGGAGGAGGTCTCCCCACACCTGCGTTTCAGGGGCCCCAGCCTCATGGCCAACAGCAGAGGACAGAGCGAGGCAGGTCAGACGCCGCATAACCCCCTGCCCGGCTGGGACGGGCAGAACCGGGCCCTTCAGCAGCTGTGTGCCCCCCCTGACACCCCAACCCGCCAGCCCCACTCCTGTGAGGTGGTCCCACGCCCTTACCTGGCTGAAGAGGTGGGATAGCACCGTGTCGGGTAAAGTGCTGGTGAGGCCCGAGAGCTGCAGGCCAAGGTGGGGTCAGTGTGAGCCCGCCCCGCCCCTGTCCCCGCCCCGCCCACCCCACCAGGGGGACCACGCTCACCTTGGTGGCGGCCCAGTCGATCCAGCCTTTGCCGTTGGGGTCAATGTTCATCAGCACCAGCCCCTCCACCAGGTCGGGGAAGATGAGCTGCCGGGAAAGGAAGACCGGGCTTGGGGGAGCGGGACGGGGGCAGGGAACCCCGAACTTCCCACCCACTCATCAGGCTGTGGAATTCTGGCCCTGCCTGTCTCTCTCACAGGGGTGGGGAGGGTCTGAGGAGGAGGACACGGTCAGTAACAGCTTCAAGATGCACCGATGACCCAACCCTGACAGCTGGGGACCTGGTGGCTCCACTGCCAGCTGCCCGGCTCAGCCTGCCCTCCTGGGAGCTTTCAAAATCCGTGGATTTATTTTGAATCTATGCCTATATCACTGTGTGTGTTTTTTTAAAAAGTCTATTTTTATTGATTTCAGAGAGGAAGGGAGAGGGAGAGAGAGAAACCTATGATGAGAGAGAAATCATGGATCAACCCCCTCCTGCACGCCCCCTACTGGGGATCAAGTCCATAACAGAGGCATGTGCCCTGACTGGGAATCACACTGTGACCTCCTGGTTCACAGGTCGAGGGCTTCCAACCACTGAGCCACACCGGCTCGGCTGTATCACTGTTTTCACCCCTTTTAATATATCGTTGGAAAGGCTGCTGTTGCAAAACTGAGGATTAAACATCTTCAATAGAACATCTTGTTTCTTTGCAGTTACAGACAAGGAAGCCCTCGTGATGTTGATCGTGGGGAACCAAAGCCTGTTTTTGGACGTGGGACCCACATTTTCGGTCGCACCGTCTGCCCGTGTTTAGGGGGCCATCTGCATACAGTGCTCATGTGATGTCCAGGGTGGGGTGGCGGGGCCTGGTCTACAGTTAACAAAATGTGTACGTGTTGGAACTGAAAGGAGAGTTGAAAATTCTTGGTCATTTCTTTGGAAGAAAGAAATCCTTTGGGTCCTGAAAAATGAAGTTTTTGTTTTTAAGGAAGAAAAGCCTGTGGCTCCTGCCGGACACGATGTTTTTGAAATGTGACTTTCACTAAAACCTCGCCAACTGAACATAAGAGTCATTTTTGGTTAAAACGGGGCTGGTTTAAATGTTTAAATATTACCGTAATTGGTGGATGAGTGGTTAGGATAATCCTTATTTTGTGGCTAGAGCAATTAGTTCTGCAGTTTGCTGATAACAGAAATTTTGGTTTTAGATAATAGTTAAGCAAGTTATAGTTTATACTCGAGGAAATGTATGGAAAAAGTAACCTTTTTTTTTAAAATCCTCACCCCAGGGTATTTTTTTCCATTGATTTAGAGAGAGTAGAAGAGAGGGGCAGAGGTAGAGAGAGAGAGAGAGAGAGAGAGAGAGAGACTGGTTGCCTCCCTGCACGAGCCCCGACCAGGGCCAGGAATTGAACCTGCAATGGAGGTGCGTGCCCTTAACCGGGAATCAAACCCAAGACCCTTCAGTCCGAGGGCTGATGCTCTAACCACTGAGGAACCAACCAGGGTGAAAAAGTAACCTTAAAAAACAGTGTCCTTAGGGACTAAGGGGAAAGAAGGCTTTTCCAAGTGAAGAGGAAGTGGGGAGAGGAGGAGGAGGAGGAGAAGGAAGAGCAGGAAAGTCACTGTGGCTGAAGGGCCGCCCCAGGAAGGCCAGCCCTGGGGTGGGGGTGGAGGGTGCAGGGGAAACTCACTGCAAACTTGGCCAGCACGTAGGCTCCGGCTCCCACTCCGATGCCAATCACGTACTTGAACCTGCAGGAGAGCGAGGCTGGTCACTCTAGGGCAGTGG